CAGACCCCTCACCATCTTTGTTGCCCTTCTCTGGACCCGCTCCAGCACCTCAATGTCTTTTTTATGGTAGGGGGCCCAAAACTGGACACAGTACTCAAGGTGAGGCCTCACCAGTGCCCAGGACAGGGGGACAATCACCTCTCGGGCCCTACTCGAGGCCCACAGCCATGAGGCTGTGGTCCTACTGTGGGAAGAAGAAGAGAAGGCTGAGGCGTTGAGCTGTAGCATCAGCTCGGGCAAGCGAAGTGTGTGATAGGAGACACACCTTTCTTGTCCTCATGCCAAGCCACTTTTGAAGTGCAAACCTCATCTCTTTTTATAACCATTTATAACCATCTCTTTTATAAGCTTTTATAACCATTGGTCACCTACTGTGAACTCCGTTGCGTGCAAACTCCTGAACACCCGAAATGTGAGGCGAGCCAAAAGGGCAGAGGTACCACCAGAAAGCCTTGCCAAGTGGTGTGTTTGCAGAGGTGGAGCACAGCTACAAAAAGCTTGCGAACCACCCCTGCCTGGCCTCTCTCGGGCACGAGCTCCTGCCCGTCCAGCTCACAACATGCTGGTGGCAGTGCTGCTTCTCTTCTTGTGCTGCCTGGGTCCTGCCGGGGCAGGGAAACTGCTGGTGGTCCCCATGGAGGGCAGCCACTGGCTCAGCATGAAGGAGGTGTTGGCGGAGCTGAGCAGGAGAGGACATGAAATAGTTGTTGTTGCACCAGACAGCAAAATGCTGATCGATTCCTCGGGGATGTATGAATTGAAAACGTACCCCGTGCCTTTCAAAAAGGAAGAGATGGAAGAACTTATACGCTCATTTGGTGCGAACTGTTTTAGCGAAGAGCCTTTTCTGACCAGATTTTTGAATACTTGGGATAATTTCCGAAAGACCTCTGCCATGTTCCAAGTCTCCTGCAGTTCCTTGCTGTACAACAAAGGGATGATGGAATACATCAAAGAAAGCAAATTCGATGCCATCTTTACAGATCCCCTGACACCCTGTGGACAGATAATTGCTTTGCACTTTTCTATCCCTTCTGTTTTCTTCTTGCGGGGCGTCCCGTGCGCTATAGACATCCATGCTGCTCAGAGTCCGAGCCCACCATCCTATATCCCACGAATGTTCTCACTCCATACGGACCACATGACGTTCCCTCAGAGAGTGAAGAACTTCCTGCTTGACATTTCAGAGTCTTTCACCTGCAGAATGGTCTTTTCACCGTTCGAAAGCCTGGCCTCAGACTTTCTCCAAAAGCCGATGACGATTACGCAGCTTTTAAGTCACGGATCCATTTGGCTGAAGAGACTTGACTTTGTCTTTGAATATCCCATGCCTATAATGCCCAATATGATTTTCATTGGAGGCATAAACTGCGGACAGAAGAAACCATTATCTCAGGTCAGTGACTGGCTGGGAAAGGTATCATGAGGGAAAAGTTCTGGCAGTTGTACACCTGCATGATCTGAGCGCGGTTTAATTTAGATTAATGCATTCCGTGTAGACAATCCACATGAAAAACAGAGCAGAAGAACGAGATGTGATTCCACCTCCTCTCCTTGGGTCTCCCCATCACGGGGATTTTGTTAGGATTTTGTTAGATGTACAATACACATGCTGTATTGTGTTTAATTCCAGCTGAAGTCAGGTATAACATTGGAGGCATAAACTGCGGACAGAAGAAACCATTATCTCAGGTCAGTGACTGGCTGGGAAAGGTATCATGAGGGAAAAGTTCTGGCAGTTGTACACCTGCATGATCTGAGCGCGGTTTAATTTAGATTAATGCATTCCGTGTAGACAATCCACATGAAAAACAGAGCAGAAGAACGAGATGTGATTCCACCTCCTTTCCTTGGGTCTCCCCATCATGGGGATTTTGTAAGGTGTAGGGACCACATGCTGTTTAATTCCAGCTGAAGTCAGGTATACACAAACGTCATCTCGCCCAGGAATTGAGGCAAAAAGGGCAGGTGAATTACAACAGCTCTTCCAAAAAAATCTATGCCTCACATAAGAAGCAGTAGAATATTTCTTCAAGAGCGTTAGCTCCTTAACCAGTGACAAAAATAATGCACTGGGTTATGCGCAATAGCATCTTTTCTGTAACAGTAGTCTTGTGTGTGAGTCGAAGGCCGATACTTTGTCCTGAAAGTTGTTGGTCTAACAACAACTTCCATCTCAAAAACTAGACAGGTGAATTCTCAACTGCGTTTTTAGGAGACATCCAGTTTGGATAGGGAAATGGTGGGTGGTTGCTTGGGCATCTGTGGTCTAAAAAGTACTTGATAAAGGCGTGCATGTGATGTACAGGAGCTTATTGCTGCATGTGATGTACATTCTTGTTGCTTGTGCTGTAAGCAGGACAGCCTCATGTGAAGCTGGAGATTAAGTGGAAAAGGAGATATAGGAAGAGACAGCTTTCCTCAGCAGATGACTAGAATCATAGAATTGTCTAGATTGGAAGGGACCTTCAAGATCATCTAGTCCAACCATCAACCTAACTCTGACAAAAACCATCACTAAACCATGTCCCCCAGTACCATGTCAACCCGTCTTTTGAACACCTCCAGGGGTGGTGCCTCAACCCCTTCCCTGGACAGCCTATTCCGATGTCTGATAACCCTTTTGGTGAAAAAATTTTTCCTAATCTCCAATCTGAACCTCCCCTAACGCAACTTGAGGCCATTTCCTCTTGTCCCATCGCTTGTTCCTTGGGAGAAGAGACTGACCCCCCCTGGCTACACCCTCCTTTCAGGGAGTCCTTCAGGGACTCCATGTGTTGGAGCAGGTCCCTCACCATCTCCCCTTAGATTATGGGGGCTTCATTCTGCTCCTCACCCCTATCTGCTGCCTCAGGGGTCTGGGTACTCAGGGAACAACCAACTCTACTACTAAAGACCAAGGCAAAGAAGGAATTAAGTACCTCAGCCTTCTCCTCATCCTTTGTCACTCTGTTACCTCCCGCATCCAATAGAGGATGGAGACTCTCCCGAGTCCTCCTCTTGTTTCTAATATATTTATAGAAATTCTTTTCATTGTTCTTAACATCCAGGGCCAGGTTAAGTTCTAGTTGGACTTTGGCCTTTCTAATCTTTTCCCTACATAGCCTACATAGCCCCTTTTTCCATAAATTCTCCTTTTTTTCCCTGAATTGTGACCGTATCTCTTTGTCCAGGCAAGATTCTGGCTAATAGATCAGAATCTAACTACAGATGGTTCTGATTCATTCTGATGAATCTGTAGTTAGTGTCATCCAACAGTTTCAGCAATAAATTATATTGTTTCCTAGAAAGGATAAACTTTTATGCTTTTTGAGCATTATTTAAAAATAAACAGACTCTCCTCTACTCTTCCCTTGAGATTATTTCACTTGCCAGCCTTCTGTTACTCTTAGGGAATGGATTCCTCCTGCCTATCACCACTCTTACTCTTCCCCCAAAATTCATAGGCATTTGTGAAGCTTCACAACAAAATAGATTTGCATTTTAGAAGCCTGGCACATCTTCCCCAGAGGCAACCTTATCTAGCCTTAGTCTCTGCTTTGCTCCTCCCGGTGATGCTGCCCATTGAAAGTAGTGTTTATTTCTGTTAAGCTGCAATCCCTTCTTATCTCGTTTTTTTACAAAAGTCTCTTTCAAATGGCCTGTCACCCTCCCACATGGCCACTTTTATCAAGGTGGTGCTTCTTCCTATCTCTTCTGTCCATCAGAGCTGCTTAATGGCTCCTCGGGGACACAGTGGGGCAGATCCTCTGGGAAAGCAGCATCCTGCCTGCAGGTGAGGCCGTGTGGCAGCTCCAGATTAAAATCAGACTTTCCTCTGAAGAAAAAGCTCGCTCTTATTCTCATCTTGCTCAGGGACTAAAGACTGTAGTCCAGCAGCAACATTCATTGCAGAAGCACTGATTCTTTGGTCCTGATTTCTTGTTGTCTTCCAACTGTGTCTCTGAATCAAAGGGCAAAATACAATCCTGCAGCTTGACAAATTTATCACAAGTACTTGTTAACTGCTCAGACTCTTCCAGTTTTTCATCTGAAGCAATAACACCACCCCTTACCATTTAAAATCAATTCCTGGCCTGAAACAAGTGGGCTGTTACTGGCTACTTTGAGATTTGTACATTTGTATATGGACAGGCTTTCCTGTATTTAATTAGAGTGGCTTTTCCTCCCTGTTGCTCCTAGAAGAAAATGGTGAGAGGCACAGAAAGATCGGTCAGGATGAGAACGAAGAAGTGTTGTGCACAAAACCACCAGATTTGGGGGTTTTCCTTCACTGATGCAAGGCTTTGCTGCAGTGTGGCTAATTATAATAAATTTGTACCCCGTGATGAACCTCGCAGCAGTGCTGAGCTGTCTGTCAATCACAGAGCCTCCTCCTGAGGCTATGCACAGATATTGTGCTGTATAGCAGCATAATTTTATAATATCACAGAATCACAGAATCTTCTAGGTTGGAAGGGACCTTAAAGATCATCTTGTCCAACCGTCAACCTCACTGACAAAAATAGACACCCGCACAACAAACAAGGAGCATCATCACTAAACCAATATCAAACATTACCTCAGCAGGCATTTCAGAACAGCTGTAAAATGCTTATCAAAAAGATGGAAAGAAAAGAAGGGAAGCGAGAAATGAGAAATTATTTTAATGCTTGCTTTCAGCAAGCCCAGTTACTTCCAAGTGCCAGCATTATTATTAAAAAAAACTTGGGATTTTGTTTTTGCAAAGTCTGATTTTCTTTTCAATCTAACATCAATCAGTCCTGGGAGCCAATCTGAAAGGACACATCCCAAGGGAGCCTCAGATACCAAGCCCCGTTCTGCCCAACCCAAGCTGATTTATCACTTTCCTTAAATGATTCATCAATACCTTGAATGGCTACTGGTGACTGGAAAAGCAGGATCGTTAAAGGGGAATGTGGGAATCTGGCAGGGGGCTGGGAGTCTACTTAAAGTCGCTTAGGTCAGGGTGTGTGAAGAGACTTTGGATTTCTAGGAACATGGCTCGTGTAGGTAGATGCAGAAGCTTAGTTTCGGCAGGGGTTTTGGTTTTCCTGTCTCTGTTTTGCTTGGCGGGGGGTGGAAAGCTGCTGGTGGTGCCAATGGATGGGAGTCACTGGCTCAGCATGCGCTCTGTGCTGGTGGCCCTCAGCCAGAGAGAGCACCAGATCGTCGTGGTCACACCAGAAGTAAACCTGAACGTGAAGGCGTCTGGATATTACACTCTCAAAACCTACCCCGTGCCTTTAACGAGGAAAGAATTGGGAGCAAGCATGCGCTCATTTGCGAACGATCTTTTTGAAAGAAGACCTTTTCTTCAAAGAATTACTGGCCTTTATGAAAAAGTTCGGGTCATCGCCAGTACCTACGTCTCCTCCTGTACCAGTTTGCTGCACAATCAGGATCTGATGCAATATCTTGAAGGGAGTAAATTCGATGCTGTTCTCACGGATCCTATTGTACCATGTGGACAAATCCTGGCTCTGCATCTCTCTATCCCATCTGTTCTCTTCTTACGGGGGCTCCCCTGCGGTTTTGATTTGCAGGCCACCCAGTGTCCAGACCCCCCTTCCTACATCCCAAGGACATTTTCAGGCAACTCAGACCGCATGACGTTTATCCAGCGTGTGGAAAACCTAATTCTGAAATCATCAGAATTCTTTCTTTGCAATTTTGCCTACTTACCATTTGAACTTCTAGCCTCAGATGTTCTCCGCAGACCGGTAACGATGAAGGAGCTCTTAAGCCATGGCTCCATTTGGCTTAAAAGAATGGATTTTGTTTTTGAGTATCCCATGCCGGTGATGCCCAACGTAGTTTTCATTGGAGGTATAAACTGTGGAAAGAAAAAGCCGTTATCTCAGGTCAGTGATTTACTTGGTAAAATAATATTAAGGTTTGAAGAAAGAAGGCTGTTTGCAAGTACTTTCTCTGTGTATATAATTGTATGTGTGACTTTGTGGGATTTATACCTGCAGTAAGTTATACTGTAAAGACAAAGAAAGTCGGTGAAAAAACTGAGTTGATTTTAATTCACTCTCATTCTTGCAGATATTCTTCTATAGCATTAGCAGTACCTCGGCATTTTTGCTTACACAGTTGTTTTCTTTGGACTAGTTGGAAGTAGTTAATCACTGCACTCTCTGCACACACCCACCAGTGAGGGTGATCCCTGGCTTTGCAGGTAGATGGGTATTATTATCCGAAACTATTTGTTTTACTCTCACAATTGATTTTTAAAAACGACGAGTCTTTTCGGTTAATAGAACCATCCTTTCATAATTAAGAGGTGAAGCGTCGCAACGTGTCCGTCGGCTGGTTGCTTTGTCAGTGTAGGTTTATCCTTTCACCACGTGCATTCCTTACACAATTTTCTGCAAAACTGGTGGGGGTTTATGTCGGTGTGAGGCAGCACTGAGCCATCTGCAACAGCTTACGCTGCCTTCTCAAAACTTTCCTACAAAAGATGTACCTAGAGCTGCAGTAACTTTGTTAATGTCCTTAAAAACAAACAAACAAAACCAAACTAAAAAAACATCTGCAACAGCTTACGCTGCCTTCTCAAAATTTTCCTGCAAAAGATGTACCTAGAGCTGCAGTAATTTTGTAAATGTCCTTAAAAAAAACCAAAAAAAACCAACAACAACAAACTAAAAAAACTGGTGCATATTATCAATCTTCATAGTAAATTACTGTATGGTCAAAATTACTTCTGTGCAAAACTGTTCATAATCAGGGCTGATTGACTGCAAATCTTGTCTGGGCGTTAGGGGTGGTTTTGCTTTCATGGCCCTGGGGTGTGATCTCCCCGGGCTGGTCCTGAACAGTGTTTCTGAGTTGCTAATCCTGTTTTAAATGTATCTGGCAAAAAAATATGCCCTTGTCCTTCCTCCTTCCAGCCCCTACCTCATTCTGGACATGAGCAGGCAGGGTGCAGCTGCAGCCCAGAAGGACAATCCCATCCTGGGCTGCATCAAAAGCTGCGTTGCCAGCAGGTCCAGAGAGGGGATTCTGCCACTTTCCTCTGCTCTGGTGAGACCTCACCTGGAGTATTGTGTGCAGGTCTGGAGCCCTCAATATAAGAAGGACATGGACCTGATGGAGAGGGTCCAGAGGAGGGCCACGAGGATGATCAGGGGGATGGAGCACCTCTGCTACGAGGACAGGCTGAGGGAGCTGGGGTTGTTCAGCCTGGAGAAGAGGAGGCTCCGGGGAGACCTAATAGCAGCCTTCCAGTACCTGAGGGGGCTACAGGAAGGCTGGGGAGAACCTGTTTAGAAAGGCCTGTAGTGACAGGACAAGGGGAAATGGCTTCAAGCTGGAGGGGAACAGATTTAGACTGGAGATGAGGAGAGGGTTCTTCACTGTGAGGGCGGTGGAGCACTGGAACAGGTTGCCCAGGGAGGTGGTTGAGGCCCCTTCCCTGGAGATATTCAAGGAGAGGCTCGACGAGGCCCTGGGCAACCTGGTCTAGTTGGGGGGGTCCCTGCTGACTGGGGGGGGGGTGGACGGGATGACCTTTGGAGGTCCCTTCTGGCCTGGGCAACTCTATGATTCTTCCAAAAAGAGGCCTTTCAGAGAAGAGAGCTTGGGTGGCCAGTCTCACTTTTTCATTACAATGCCAAGGTATCAAGCTGATAAAGAAACCCGACCATTTCCACATATGAAGCGTTAATGATTTTCTAACCTTTTACAACTAGAAAATTATTGGGACTGGCAGGTGGGGAGGGATTTTCCCTATGCTGACAGGCCTTGTTGGAACAATTAATGATCTGTTAAGTAGCAGACCACTCATTGAAGGATCCCTCACTTCCCTAAATCCCGGTGCCCTTCAGTACAAAGCGGTGGGTGTTTCCTGCTCCGATTACTGTCTGCCAAACTGGCTGAACTTTAACACCTCTGATGCCACCCTTGCTATACCCATGATTATACATTTACCACGAGTCTAAAGATCATCCAGAGAACCGTGGCACAGATTGCTTTAGAGCGTGGAGTGGGATATATACTTTCTGGGCAGCGCTCACCAGATTTCTGCAGAAATGGTCTTTTTTGCTCGTCCCCAAGTCACGGTGACACTGGTTCTGCTCCTGTCCGTGCTGGGTTTGGCTGCTGGTGGGAAGCTGCTGGTGATACCGGTGGATGGGAGTCGTTGGCTGAGCATGAGGGAGGTGTTGGATGGACTCAGGGAGAAGGGGCACGAGGTAGTCGTCGTTGCGCCTGAAATAAGCATACATATAAAACCATCAGAGAATTTTATCATGAAATTGTACCCAATACCTTTCACAAAGGAAGAGGTGGATGCAAGTGTCCATTCTTTTTCCCGGGAAGTGTTTGAAGAAGGATCTTTTCTGGAAAGATTTCTTAAAGTATACCGAAGACTGAAAAACATCTCTGCCATATCATCCTCTACCTGTGAGCACTTACTGAACAACAAAGAGCTTGTCAGATATCTCGAGGAGAGCAAGTTTGATGCTGTATTTACAGACCCTGTAGTACCCTGTGGGCAAATATTGGCTGAACATCTTTCGATCCCTTCCGTGTTTTTTTTGAGGGTAATGCCATGTGGTTTAGATTTTGATGCCGCTCAATGCCCCAGCCCTCCTTCTTATGTCCCCAGGGTATTCACAGGGAATACAGACCGCATGAACTTTTTCCAGAGAGTGAAGAATCTGCTCGCTGACATCCCAAACTTATTTCTCTGCGATTTTGTCTTTCAACCCTACGCAAAACTGGCTTCTGAGTTCCTCCAGAGGGAGGTGACTGTGCCGGATCTTTTACACCAGGCTTCCATTTGGCTCATGAGGTTAGATTTTGTGTTAGACTATCCAAGACCTTTAATGCCCAACGTCATCGTAGTTGGAGGAGTTAACTGTGCTCACAAGAAGCTATCTCAGGTGGGTCGTGCTCTGTTTTTAATTCGTGCTCTGACAGACTTGTGTGTTCACAAGGGTGGAATTTTGTGTTGCAGATAGGAGTCAAGGTCCTGTTTGGGGTGAGTTAGGCAAATATTCATGAAAGAAGTCATTTTTCTCTCACTTTCTTCCTCACTTTCCGTTTTCTGTGCAGACAGCTGTATCTCTTCATTTATAAAGTATGCTCAGTTGAAGAGAAACTCTTCTAGTGAAGGTCTGTGATGGGACGGTCTCTCCACCAGACAAAGTGGTTCTGGACAGTAAGCCAGAGGTGCAGTATTTGTTTTACAAGCATGATGAGACAGCCTTCAAAATCTTAAAAGATCTGTCTGGGCTCAAAACCCCAGTCCTAATGAATTTGTCTCCATTTGAAAACATCCAGCACAGTGTGACTAGCAGTGAGGGGATGGATGCAGCCTTGGTGATAATGCTCACCTCTCAGATGTGGCTTGAGTGCCTCAGACACAGAAGACAGCAACGCACACAGTTCTTACTGAAAAGCCTCCTCTCCTGCTTTGTGGGAGAGCCTGGAGAATTGGGCTATTCTTTTTGGCGCCCTGGCTTTATCTCCAGTCATAATATTCAGGACTTGTGTGCTATGGGGTAAGGTCAGCATGGGATTTCCACCCATCTCCAAGTGGCAGAGGTGGCTGTGGCGTCTTACAGACATCCCCGTGCACACTGTAATTTGCCACCTGAGCTTTCATACAATCCCACTGCTGCTGGACACCATGCAAGATTTGCCAGTGACAGAGAAGAAGCCAGAATTAGGCACTCAATTGTTTCAGGAGAAGTGCCCCTCAAAGAGTGTTCAGACATCTCTGCTTTCTGCCACCACAAAGCCAACCCCTCCAATCCCCTGAGGCAGGTCTCAGGTACTGGAAGGACAGTGTAGTGCAGGTGATGTGTCCGGCAGACAAACCTGGCATCCTGCCTCCACTTTCATCAGTCTTCTCAGTCTAGAGACAAACTTAAACAGCCCTTCCACGACGCTATGGAGGCCATAGACCTCCTGGAGATGAGTCTTCAAAGAGAGAGTGAAATGGGGCAGGTCGTGACAGGGGGAAGGGAGCAGCCTGGTGATGTGGATGGGACACATCTCCTGCACTTGCAAAAAGTACAGCCAGAGGGAAGATCTCAGAAGTCCCACCCAGAGCCACCCCTGCCTCCTTCCCAGGACACTCTCTACTGCTCCTCTAAGAGGAACAGATGGGGGTTCCTTGGTGGGTCCATCAAACACCGCCAACCCGTGGCCTTGGCTGGAATTAAATGCTTATTACGCAGCCTGTGGTCAAATTAATGATTATCCATTGACCACACAGCAAATAACTTGAAGGATCAAAAGTTGGGCTGTCCCACAGATGGCTTTAAAGGGCAGAGCTGGAGCTGGTGCTTCAGTGCTGCCAGAGGATTTCTTCCCGGGCAGCGCTCACCAGATTTCTGCAGAAATGGCCCCGGTGCTTAGTGCTCGTCCCCAAGTCACGGCGATGCTGGTTCTTCTCCTGTCCATGCTGGGTTTGGCTGCTGGTGGGAAGCTGCTGGTGATACCGGTGGATGGGAGTCATTGGCTGAGCATGAGGGAGGTGTTGGATGGACTCAGGCAGAAGGGGCACGAGGTGGTCGTCGTCGCACCCGAAGTCAGCATGTACATAAAGCCAACAAAGAACGTTGTGATGAAGACGTACCCAGTCCCTTTCACAATGGAAGAGATGGATGAAAATTTCCGGGCATTTATACAAGATGTACTTGAAGAAGGTTCTTTTCTAGAAAGATTCCTTAAAATATACCAACATATGAAAAAAGTGGCTTATTTGGGAGTCTCCAGCTGTGAACACTTACTGAACAACAAAGAGCTTGTCAGATATCTCGAGGAGAGCAAGTTCGATGCTGTCCTTACAGACCCTGTACTACCCTGTGGGCAAATATTGGCTGAACACCTTTTGATCCCTTCCGTGTTTTTTTTACGAGGAATACCATGTGGTTTAGATTTTGAAGCCGCTCAATGCCCCAGCCCTCCTTCTTATGTGCCCAGAATATTTACGTCCTATACAGACCGCATGGACTTTTTCCAGCGAGTGAAGAATCTGCTCTTTGACATCCCAAACTTATTTCTCTGTGATTTTGCTTTTCAACCCTACGCAAAACTGGCTTCTGAGTTCCTCCAGAGGGAGGTGACCGTGCCGGATCTTTTACGCCAGGCTTCCATTTGGCTCATGAGGTTAGATTTTGTGTTAGACTATCCAAGACCTTTAATGCCCAACATCATTGTAATCGGAGGAGTTAACTGTGCTCACAAGAAGCTATCTCAGGTGGGTTGTGTTCTGTTTTTAATTCGTGCTCTGACAGACTTGTGTGTTCACAAGGGTGGAATTTTGTGTTGCGGATAGGAGTCAAGGTCCTGTTTGGGGTGAGTTAGGCAAATATTCATGAAAGAAGTCATTTTTCTCTCACTTTCTTCCTCACTTTCCATTTTCTGTGTAGGGTCTGGTGTTTCCAGAGAAATGCACGTCATGCTTCTGTCCTGGGGCACCCTTGCTGCCTGACCACTTCTATCTTTGTCAATGACTTTGCTCCTTCACACATGGGTATTTCCAAAGCTAGACTCAGCAGGAATGTTGCAGGTTCTGGACTCTTGGGCTGAGTAGCACCATCTCTGTGCCTCAGAAGATTGTGCCTTGGTGATGGCTGTGTGAGATCTGAGAAGAAAATCAGTCTCGATGAGCCTGAAGGACCTGTGGTGGCTTGGCAGGTCCTGCTCAACGGTGACAAAGCGGCCAAAGCTTTTCTAATAGAAACAGATGGGCCTTATCTGATACATCCACCACCTTTGCCTCTCACGCGTGTAGATTGCTGAACTCTAGTGTTTTTTAATCAACCTTTTGGCAAAACAATGAGTTTATATGTTTACTGCACAGCAAATGCCTCCAAGGATCAAAAGGGCAGATGCTGCTGAGCGTCCTTCAATCCCTTCTGGTTTTTTTTTTTTGCAGCAAACACTGTGTGGTTTAGAATTTGAAGCCACTCAGTGTCCCAGTGCCCCCTCCTATGTCCCCAGGGTATTCACAGACCTTACAGACCACATCAACTTTTTGCCATCTAGGAGGTCTCAGAGGAAAAGTCGGTCTAGAAGAAGTCTTAAGAGGCTGAGAAAGGAACAGCCCTGTCCTACAACTCCACCAGCATTCACGGTGGGGGTCAGCACAGTCATTGTATGACAAAAGAGCACACCTTCTGCACCAGTCTCTACAGGTTATTGGCAGTCCAGCTCTTCACGCCGCCGTCACACATCTCGTGGGGGAACTTCATCACACTCCTCGTTCATTTGTGCCTTTGCAGGGACTTGTAGAACTTCCCCGATGCTTAACATCATTTTTGTCGCCCTTCCATCTTCATCAGCTTTCTCACCCCAGAAAAAAAACTTAAATTAGCTCTTCCACATCTGCTTGGGGGCCACAGGTCTCCTAGAGATGAGACAGGGGGTGTTGGGGGCAGGTCTTGCTCAGGGGGAGGGAAGCAGTCTCTGCTGGGTTGAATAGTGATGAGGATGTGACATCTCCTGCCCTTGCAGAAAGTTCAGCCAGAGGGAAGCTCTCAGAAATGCAGTCCCACCCCTGGCTCTTTGCTGGGACACTCTTTACTGCTCCTCTAAGAGGAACAGATGGGGTTTATCCAGTGCATCCACCTCACAGCACGTGTCTGTGGACGGGGCTGAACTTAGTACTTGTTCTGCAGCCTTTTATCAAATGAATGATTTACCACACAGCAAATAATCGAAGGATCAAAAGTTGGGCTGTCCCACAG